GAAAACTTGTTTGCTGCTGGTTCCTTTTCAGTTCAGTCAGTAAGCGTGGGCTGAAGCCTGTTTAAAGAAAGCAATTGCTTAATTCATATTTATTCAACACCACGATGACCTCATTCTCACAAACCGACATCGTTTCCTCAGACATACCTGCAGCTAAGTATAAACGCTCTCAGAAAGTCTAAGTGTCTGCAGTGCTTACAACAGTTTACCTCCAGCTTCAACTGTACCAGGACCATCCCCAGTCGTCCCAAACAAAAGGCCTTCTCCTGTGCGCTCTTTGGAAAGCCCCGTCATATTCCCCCGTGACGAGCGCTGTCATTCATGTCTCCATGACCCACACCCCTCAGCCGCATAATGGGCCGGTCCAGAGTGACCCATATTTACCCAATAATACAGAGCTTTGAAAAGGCTTGGATCAAGTGTCGGCTAATGCGCCAGTGGGGCCAAGGGAGTGAAAGATGTTACCGGCTCGAGCGGCTTGAGTTTCAGGCCTCTGAACAAAGAAGAGGGAGGAGGTGATGGGGAGAGGGCTGACAGCAGCCTCAGCCTCTTGGTTAAACAGGGTTAAATATGTGCCGTAGTATTCTTACAGTTCAGTGTTTACTCCCTCGTGATGTTCACACTAACACCACGCAAACATGGTCTCAATGGAGGCCTTTTGAAAGAGCGCGTGTGGAAATGCTGACATTATTTCAATGGCTTTCTCAGAATTATTTATCAAAAACAAATGTTTTAAAAGCAACATTGATCTAGTTTGGCTTCCCTAGTTACTGGTTCTTCCCGAGATTGACAATATAGGTTTCAGTTCAGAAACTGTTGTTTGGCTTGAACTACTGTATGTCCCTCGATGTGTGATTAATCGATTCTGTGATATGGACTTAAGATTATTTTCGTACCTGTATTTAAACAAAAGATAACTTAAACTAACTAACTTTTAAAAAGGGGGAATGAGTAGTACTAAATTAACACTCAACTAAAAAGTTTTCAAATAAATTAGTTGGATTTGGACTTGATGTGTTATGAAGTGCATTCAAAAGTGCTATACAAATAATATTTCTATAGTTTTGAAGTTTAGAGTAAGTTTAGTTTTTCTTAACCATTTAGAGTGTTTCCATTTCAAACAACAGTATTCGGTATTGTCAGTGTTATTGCCTCCACATTTGCGATGTCATCACGTTGTCGTCACATACACTGGTGCTGATGCTTATACATAAACATGGGGGATCTCTATCTTTTCTATTTCACAAACAACACAAACAACTGTATGTCTGTAGTTATTCCTAAAGCAGGATAACACTCCAAATTAACCATGAAACATCAACCTTGTAACTAGTGCCTCACTCTGGCTTTCAGACAGAAGAGAGTATCAGCCCTCACTCGGCCAATCCGCTCTCAGTCTGTGTTTTCTGATAACACGATCACCGCAAAGAGTGTATCCACTCTGATCAGAGCATGTTCTGGTCTGATTTGTTTCGTAAAACATTACTTAAAGATTTATTGAGCTTTTATTCATGTTACAGCATTGTTCTCTCATTAGTCACAGACCTGTAGTTGTTTTTAGATCCATGCTAATATCAGGAACTTCTGCCACAAACGTGTAGCTCCGCCCCTTTCTGCCTCAAAGCTCCTGTCTCAGTCCTGTAATAGTATGATGTCATTGTACCACTATGACATCATACTCCAAGTAGTTTGATTTTAAAACAAAAGCATTTTCTAAAGTGAAATTAGGATGTTTGCAATCACATGTCTGTGTTTACAGCTGGTAATTTTCGAATCAGGAAAAAAACAAAAATTCTACCGCTCTCTCTGGTGGTAGACAGGACAGGCCAGTAGAATCGTTTACCCTTAATATTTCTGATATAATATATATTTCACATTCTAAAACATGCAACGACAGCATTAAATAGTGTAGTTGCAATTATTAATTGACTAAAACAATGCGTAATAATAAAAAAAAAAACGTGTACCGCTTTTGTTCACACACAGCCTTATTATTTCTCCTCAAAACGGACTTCCAGTAAGACAAAGCAGAAGGGGAAATGGAGCAGGACTGTACTAACCTCTGAGAGAGAGGGGTGAGCAGAGGCCAGACAGAGAAGTGCCTCAGTGCAACCATGATACCCAAAGGTGATTTCAGCTCACACACCCCTTACCCGACCACCCCCCCGCCTCCCATGCTCCTCTGGGGCAGGCAGGTATAAGGTTACACAGGCCTCTCAGCTTTCTTGGAAGGAATGACCACATGAGTAGCTTGGGGATTAGATTAGCAGGAAGAGCAGACTTAGCCAGGCCGTAAATAGCCCAGTTTTTTCACCATTAAAACGGCACAGTACAGCATAATCAATAGGCAGCACTCATCGGCAGCAGGAAGCCATATCCGAAGCTGCTCGTGAAGTGCTCTGAAGGACGCGCCCGGGCTGCGTGTCCTTAATGAAGTTAATATTAATCACTGGCTTATCCTTAAACTGCTGTTGTGCTCCGTGGGTTTTCTGTGTCAAATACCACAAGTCCAAGTCCTTCCTTCTCTCATTCTCTTCTCTACTTTATTTTCTGACCAAACGACTCTCCTGTTGTCTTTCGTTGCCCGATCCGCAGTCTCAGTATTTTTGTATTGTCTCTCGGGGGTCCCACGAGGCCGGGGTTATCCGGGAGCAGCCCTTCGTACTCTTTGAAGCTTCTCCTGAGAGTTAGAGCCTTCTGTTAGTGCTCTTCAATCAATACTAGACAAATGTTTTATCACCGACGCTCTGGTTTCTGCATATAACATGTTTTATTTTTTTCTGTCAATCAAATCAATTACCATGTTTATTTATTTACTTGTCTGGTGCACACTTGAGTATTTTTGCACATGTATTCCAACGTGGTTTTACTGCAAATGGAAAATAAACTGAATCTGAGAACACTTTTTTTTACAAAGAAAAAAACGGAGGCTGTACAGTTGTTAACCACCACTGTATTATTATGATGATGTAATACAAGAGGGATTTGTCAGCTTTGCAGAGGCAATTAGGCAAAAAAGTGGACCAGCATTTATGGTGAGGTAGCATCGAAGAGAGTACAGCGATCTTCAGCCAAGACGGTGTCAAAGCACATGATTATGAACGTCACAACAACATCTGAGTCTTCTTTGAAAACAAGTTCCCAATAAGTTTAGATCCCGGCCCATCACAATCCTCACTTAACTTCTTCCACCTCTGGACACTTATTGATAATCTTCACTGTTAAATAACAAAAACACAATAGACCTTTATTTTAACCAGGAAAGTCCTACTGAGATTACAGAATTTCTTTTTCAGTGGAGTCCTGGGCTCAGTGAGAGGGGACGTCAGGGAGGGTGTCATGGGGGACTATTGTACATGTTTTTAGTAGTAGGGGAAGCTGGAGCACCCAGAGGAAACCTACGCAGTCACGGAGAGAACATGCAAACTCAGCATAAAAAAGTCTACGTTCTACAATATTGTTTTTCCACAGTTTGGTATTAACAAAAGATTGACCAATACACATAGATTTTTCATATATCGGTCCTGACTTTTTCCCATCCGGCCGATATGCTCCCATGGCATGTTATACCTCATCTTCTACAGTACTCGGCTGGTTTTAGCTTTGCTCCAGTTTCAATCAAGGTGTATTTGAACTCATTTGGACAGAGGAAAATAATTGTTTGTTCAAAGTGCTTTTATATGATAAGTGACAACAAATGTAAAAGATTTAAACAAAACACCCACAAATAAAAATCTGGAAATGTTCATAAAGATATTTTGAAATGATTTGAAGAATGTACTAATTAAACTATAGCATTAGCCCCTATCCCATGGGTATTTTAAGCCTTTCAAGAAGAAAAAAACTGCCTCAGAAATCTCATATCAGTCGATCTCTAGCGTTGACATTGGAGACCTGTGGCTTCACTTGACTGAGTTACTAGTCATGTCTGTGGAGAGGAACGTCTCATGAACGTATGAACGTCCTCAGGTGGAAACAGAGAGTAGCCTCCTCCTCCACACGCCGCTGTTCTGTAGTAAAAGGCCTTCGCACTGATCCGGGTCTGACATGTTTGCGGCGTCTACCTGAACTGTGGAGACATGAATTAGCAGCTCCGGTGTTTTTCTGTCTGTGACTCAATGTAAAAATAAACACTTTTGGCTTTACTTAAGAATCTGAAGAGAGGCTTTGGCTGCACACATCTGTAAGCACTTAACCGTAAGGACACGAGGAGGAGGCTGTAATGGGGGCTTTTGGGCACAAGGTATTCCACTGTTGCTCTGTGGCTGATCTGCTCTGAAGCTGCTGCGGAGCCAGAGCAAACAGAGCTGAGCTGGGGTTAGGAGGGACTCAACTTTGACTTGCCTTATGAAGAGGCAGAGGGCTGTGTCTTTCCCTACTGTGTAGAGGAAGGTTTGGTGTTCCGGTGCTCGTTTTTTGTAACTGTGGTTCTCCGACGCTCGCCATTATTAGTGCAATACTTTCACGTTTTTTTTTTTCAACAACTTAATCTCGTTTTATGCCTCTTATGGGGTCGGTCATGCACTCACCTCTGATGATGGATAACAATCTTAACTTTTTTAAAAAGTAATATTCAGATTTAATTATTGGTTTTACTTATTTTAAAAAACGATATATTATTTTATCTGTAACAATTATCTACAATAAATGAAAAGTATGTTTGTAAAAATGTAGTAAGGACCAAAAGCCTTTATTTTTACTAAACCATATAAAAAAAAAATTCACGTCCTATGTATTGAGATACATATTGAATCGACAAGCTCTGAAACATTCTCAGCCGTATTGATGAATGTGAATTAGTTGATTTTGTTGACAGAGGAATACATGAAATGCTAATATTTGTGCTTTATGTAGTATGTATTCATTTACTATTTTACCTCTGATGTCATTACACAAGTGACGATGTTGGACCATTAATAAACCATGAATAATTACATAGTATATATATGTGAGTAACTCTGAATAGACTTAAGAGTGAAGTCTGACTCTGTGTTCTGCAGATACCTGAACCACGTGCGTGCCGCTCAGCCGCAGGACACAGCAGGAGGCTACACCACTGCACTGGCCTGTCACCGGGCCATCCAGGACGCCTTCAGTGGGCTCCTCTCTCTGTAGACCCCTGCGCCAAAAGGAAACTGAAATCTGAAAAGGTGATATGTGATGCGACTCACTTTTTTGAGTCAACAAGATTTTGTGTCTTTTTTTATTTTCCAAATAAATGAATCTTGTGAAAGAAAAAACATTGTATTAATCTGTGCTTTTGTCAGAATGGGTTTCCACTCTACAGTCGCGATGGCTTTGTGGAGCTGAGAAGAATCTGCTCTGGTTTCGGAAGTCACATTTGCATGGAAAATCCCATCGGAATTTCTAAAAATAAAAAGATGTTGAACTCACTATGGAGGATTTCTAGCCGTGTAGTAACGTCAATCTACAGTACAGTTGTTTTAGCCCAGAAATCAAAGAAAACAGTGACATTTGTTCGTTCATGACTTTACTTTTTAGGTAAAAGGTAGGTATTGTGGTCGTGACTCACCTGTTCTACCCCAAAAACAAGCTTTTTAGAATTCCCTTTTCTGCCCACTTCACAGCTCTATCACACTATACTGAAAGACCCTTTGATAATTGTACCATTATACATGTCATATGTATGGGTTTTAGTTTAATGGAACATACTTTCGTGTTTTAAGGCCACATTAACAATTCTGAAGTTGCGTTTCTGATCAGACACTGTAGCAAGTATTTCTACCTGTCGCACAAGAGGAAACTCAGAAAAGACCCGATGAGCGGTTGCATTTTTATCTGGTAAGAGTTTGTTTCATACCAGAAATGAGAAAGAAATGGATGGTGCCAAGAAGATCTTTATTGAATGTATGAAGTAATAATGAAGGAAAAGGATTAGACATAACATGAAGAGTGCAATATATTTTATCCATTTCGATTGAAACATGAATTGATCATAATATTTTGAGGATTATTCTTTGATCAAAAGTTTTGCAAAAATGTACTGTATGGGCAATCTGACACATGGAAATCCTGCGTCTGTTAGATTTGGGAAGACCATGACCAGTCTCATAGCTATTATATAAAAATCAAGATTAGAAATCAGATCATCACTACAGAGGTGTAATCCTTAAACTCAAATCAATTTGGTTGAAAGTCTTTTGAGGAAATTCTCTAAGAAACTAAATCTTCATTTGATCAAACATTTGCACAATTCATATGTAAAAAGTAACTTAGAAAAATTACATGAAAATAACTGTATCCGTGTGGTTTAGCCCTCACTAATTAACAGATAATTAGGAGCAACTTTGTGTAGAATTTATGGTTAATTATCTCTTCATGGGTATTTATTAAGTCCTCATTCGACATGGCCTCGTTCAACATCTAACTAACTGACACTTTCCCATGTGGCTTAGGATTAGGGTACACAAATTAGCACTTAATTAGCTGTTAATGAGTGAGGGCTAATCTAAACAGAGTCCAGACAGTCACGTCGTCTGAGCAGCATCTTCACATTTCTGGCGCTTTGAGGCCGGTTCGTCTGCAGACTCTGAAAGGAAAAGCCCATGTTCAGACTGATCTCGTGTGGATCTCACAGGTGTGTCGTGTCCTTCACCTGCGGCTGTGGACTCGCTGCTGCACAGGACCTCTCTGGGAACCCTGAAGCTCACACACAGCATGTCTTTGTTCGGTGCCACGTTCCGCACGAAATGCACGGCGCTCCGGTTTTCCAGCGAGACTCCCACGGCGTCCGAAGCTCTCTGCGTGACGTCCCGGGCCGCATCCTCCTCTTTCGAGAAGCCGTAGCAGTGCACGGTGGGCAGCGATGCGTCTGGAGGAGGCTCGTCCTGCAGCAGACCTCGGAAAGCGTCTAAAAAGTCAATGGCGAGAGCCGGGAGGTTCATGACCACGTGCACCGCGGCCTTGTGCCTCAGCAGAGCGGGCAGCTCGTCTCGCACGGCGCCCCGGATGAAGGCTCGGCCGTCCATGTTAAATGTTCTCACTCTGGTTTCCACTTTGTTGAGTTTGCAGTTGTGTTGCAGCCATCGGAAAGACTCGGGGTTCAGATCGTTGGCGTAAACCGTGGCCCCACAGCGAGCGGCAGGAACGGCGAAGGGTCCGACTCCTGCGAACACGTCAAACACGGTGTCTTTGCACGCCACCTGCTGCACGATGCGCTGGTGCTCCGTGCTCAGCCGCGGGTTCCAGTAAACACGGGAGAAGTCGAACTCGTACGCGGCGCCGTTCTCCTTCACCTGCAGCAGTCGGGAAAACTGTCAACACTGGTTTTTTATATTTAATTTAATGTTGACCTACCTTTGCCACCATGTTCTCCTCTCCAGCCATCACCTCCATCTTGAAGTTTCTGTAGGTGGAATCTATGCTGTTTGTTTTGTTCACCACACAGGTCACCCCAGGGTTTTTATCTATAATGACTTGACCTTCAAGACAAAAAGGAAAAAAATATATACCATGCACTTGTTAGGCACAGACTCTTTACTTTAAACCCTCTAGAGATTGAGCCATTCCTTCAAACCAGAGGTGGCAGTAAGCTACTGTTGCCACCGTAGACTGTCAGGAAAAATGGGGAAAACCCCTAAGTGCTGGGCAATCTGGGAAAATGCATCAATTAACCAATTACCAATGACACTGACGAGGACACTGCGGGAGGTAAAAACATGGTGACTTTGTTTTTTCAGCAAAATCACTGAGTAACTTCTCCTGGTTCTGCCACATGACTGGTGTTCCATTTTAATTCAGGTCTCAATATTTGCCATCTAAAATATCTACAGCCTCAGGACAACATTAATATCATACGGTTGTTTGTACTTCTAAGTATTTCTTAGTTATTGTTCCACTATTATTGGAGACGTTGTGTGTCAACTTAGTCAACATTGTTAGTTTTGATGTGTACATTTTACACTCTGGACTGGTTAGTTACCAAAGTTTAACAAAATTCTTCTGCAATATATTGATTATTGTGTGTTATGTTCGTTCATGAAGAATAAAGGTCATCTACGACCAGTGTTGGGTAACTAGTCACATGTTACTGATTTTAAAAAGTTACACTACTTAGTTACAGTCAAGACAGTAATTGAGTCAGATCAAGCAGCGCATACCTCAACAGCAACATTAGAAACTGTGAGGTTTTAGCTCGTTTAACCTGTGAGAGAGTTATGCATGTAAATATGAGTATCTTAATAGTAACTGTAATAACATTACTGTGTATTACGGTGACTAATTGCTTTTATCTGAGTTGCACCCAACACTGTCTACAAGCTGGCACTCCCTACCAATGAGGTTCCTGTAGGGCAGCTGGTGGTCCCTGAGGTTCATGTGAGCGATGTGACCCACTCTGCTGAAGCCGGAGGTCACGTCCTGTCCCGGCGGCAGCACGGCCTCCAACACCTCCTCACTTTTCAGGTTCTCATAGCCCAGAGTCAGCTCATAGTCCTGCAGCTCCTGGGCCACAGAGAAGGCCCTGAGAGCCTCCTCCTCCGGTCCACTGAAGCTGCTGGCACTGGTCACTTTCTGCGGATCCAACAGAACCAGGCGGCTGTCACTGCTGCCCTCGTCAGGAACAACGCGGGTCAGACCAGGCCGCTGGATCATCACGCTCTTCAGGCTCTTCACCACTTTGTTTAGCACTTTGAGCGACACCCGTAGAGCCGGGACGGTGATACTCTGTGTGAAAGCTTCTCTGTTCAGAACGGTCATTCCCCTCACCTCTGCCGGGGGTCTGTACAGCTTCAGCTCAGCTTTGGGATCCATGTGGACGGAGCAGAGCTTACTGTTTGTTTGTGAAGACTTCGAGGCTCTGAATAGCACTCTATGGAAACAAAACCTGCAGTTTACAACTTGAAATAATTTTAACTGAATTGAACTCTATAAGAACATAGAGAGAACGAGCAACACACATAACAGCAACATTCCTAGGTTTAAAGAGAGACCTGCTAATGTCTAGATTTGTGATAGAATTTGAATTTCTTTTGGACAGTGTGCAATAATGAAAATTTCAGTGTAGACAAGTCAATTCTACTTACATGCACACATGAACAACAGACAGACACACACATTGAACCCACAGCTCACAACTCAAAGACAACAAACTACATTCATGAACGCACACAAATCAGTACTGGTTTCCATTCAGCCATTACTTTAAAACTAAGAACAGACCAGGGCTTGGATCATAGATGTGGTTTGAAGTATCCGTGGCTCTAAACATTAATAATATATACAACATCTAGAGACAGCACAATGCACAGTAAACAACTGGCAATATACTTTTAACACAACCAGACACTGTCTACTCTTATTTTTTAGCATTTTTATGTCAAAGCTGTGCAATATACATGGGTTAGGATGCGTAAATGCTTTAAAAAGACAAGTTTTACATCATTAGAGCTCGTGTAAGGCCTGGCCATAGGGTTTACAGTGCTGTCGACACGTCTCTATGGTCAGAAAGGTCATAAGTGCCCATATGCGATCTTTTCTGGGGGTTAGAAAGAAAAAAAACAAGTCTGGGAACTCTAGCTTTTTATCCCATACAAATACATTCATATAATTTACGACGAACGTGAATTAGCATGTTTTTTGACGCATCCTTGTTTTTCAGATCTCACCTCAACATCATCCACGCTGTCGCATGCTGGCTTCCACCGCTACGTCATCATACTGCGACACGACCAGCGGCATGTTTTGGTTGTGATTGGTCAAGAAAAGTTGAAGGCGACCGGAAAAACAAACAGAGACCACAGATAAAACTGCTTGAGGGACAAAATGCGTGACAAACATGCTAAAAACATAAGAATAATGGGATTTTTGTAACGTGAAGGAGCCGTTTTGGACAGAGTAGCGTCATTTTAAACAGAAGCTGCGATGAGTGAAGATAATGACTTCATTGGAAACACAGAGGAGGAAGCGCCTCTGCTCACTGATGTAAGTCGATTACATTAAGATTAAGAGATCCTTTATTCGTCCTGCTGTAGGGATATTTCAGAGTTGCATCACAAGTAGGACAGAACAGTAGGAATGAGAAGCACACAACACAATATTGAATATTGGTCCAGCTCTGAATACATATTTACAGTGAAGTAAATACATGTTAACAGCCTGAGGATTAAACTGGTTCACCATGTTTGGTTAGTTTGAGTATTTGATCATTTGTGTTTGATAATGTTGTGAGATGTGCTTACTTATTTTCCATAAGTACGTTTCCTTTCCTCTTTTCCCCAGTATATTGATCATGTCAGCAGTTTGCAAAGCTCATACTCAGCTTTTCTGCTGTTGCATACTTGCACTTTGGAACATCATTAAAAAATATATCTGTTTTACACGTCCAAATGTGCAGCAACATGTTCAATATAATGATACTTGGTAGAATACTAATACTAAAGGGTAAAGGGTTCTACTCTGACAATGTTCAAATCCAGGTTAAAAACAGCTCTGTTAAGCTGTGCATTCTCCTGAATGATGGTATCTTATCTCCTTGTAGTGTTCTGTAATTATTTCTGATTGTAATGCCTTGTGTGCTTTTAATGTTTCCTTTTTCTTGTTTTGTTAAGCATTTTGAGTTGAGAGCTATAAAAATAAATCACAATATGAAAAACACTAAGATAAGGTTGTCCCAATAGAGTCTTGTAAAAGTAAATGATTCAGGCAACGCCATGCTGTCTTTATCCTATTAGAAACAATGTTATCTTTTGCATAAATGTAAAAAAAAGCCCAGTGAGCCACTATATTTGATGCTTTGGGCTTAAACCTGATTGGCGGAGTGAGGGTGGACCTCCCTTTATTACCTTTCTGTCTGAAAAAGCTGATCTAAAGATGCAAACAAATGGTGATAAAGCCAATCTGGTTTGAGCGCAAGGAACTAGTTAGATAGGTTTTATTTTTTTATTTGATTTGATTGAACTGATGTAAAGATGTGACAGGGGCCAAAAATACTTGCATGTGAAATGGCATATATTGTATTACATAGTTCCATTGTTGTAGTTTGGAAGTTGATTACCTCAGTTTTAAAATAAAATATAAATGCAGAAATAACATCTCTTCAGTCGTGGAGGTTTTAGATTTTCTATTTCCAGAAGCATTGTGTAAAGTCTATCCAGGAGCAGTCCACCGGTCAGTCCAAGCTGGTCTGATCCCAGTTGATGCGAAGGACTCATTTGGACCAGGATATTCCCTATTACAGGGTCATGCCATCTATGCAGCTTCCCCTCTGCCTCCGCTGGCAGCTGTCCACTGTCAGCTGCCCCATACCACTGCCTCTAGCTCCTCATCCATGGCTTTGTTTTGGTAAAGATAGAGCTGCACCATTTTTGCAAGTACATACCGGGAATTGCGATATTTCTGGCCGACATTTTGATTTAATTTTTGAAGTAAGTAATAATTAAGTAATTTTTATTTATATATCGCCTTTCACAAACCAGAGTTTGACAATTGTTGTGGGCATTTGTCCTCTCACTAGATCAATCCATCAATCATTTATTTGTATAGCACAATTCAAAGTGCTTCACAAGAGCAATTTAAAAACAGATCAAAATGTATGAAAAAAGTCAATGAAATGTACAGTAATTTTGTATAAAAACAGCTGCATAAAAGTATTGGGCTAAAAACTCTGGGCACCAGCAGGAAGTCAGTCTTTGCGTCCCAGTTTGGAATCTCAGAAACATGGGAGCGGTGCTGCCATAGAGGAGGTGCATGCCAGATTAGTACTATCACTGGCATGTGTTTTTAGTGGTAGTGGAAACCGGAGCACCCAGAGGAAACCTTTGCCAAAGAATAGGTCAAGAAGCATTTGTGATTTGAAAATTACATTTGTATTCTATTGTATTAATGGTTATGGAAGCTCTAGTTATGGAAGTGTTCTATTTGAATAACTTGTGTTTCTCTCAGGAGGCGGTCAGCAGGAGCAGAGGGGCCTCCTTCGTCTCCTCTGTCTTTAACCTGATGAATGCCATCATGGGCAGTGGGATCCTGGGCCTGGCTTATGCAATGGCCAACACCGGCATTGTTGGATTCTGGTGAGTGTTGAGCTGCTGATGACATGTGGATGTGTATTACTCTGGTAATCAGGAACCAAAGTAGGAGAGTGGCTTCACAAGCTCCTATATCCAGGACACTTTCTATACAGGGATTTGGTTTCCTGCAATCGTTTCCCTACATGATGATTTTTTATAACAATGACTAGTTCTTATGATATATATTGTATCTAGTTTCCATACTTGTAACTATCGAAAAAACTGGGTCTAAACTCTAGAAATTATGAATTGACAAATATCATAATATGACAAAAATTATCTGTCATGAAATTTCATACTTTTTCTGAAGTTTTAGAAAACTATTGTGATGTAATCAGTTTTTTCCAATTTCTCTTTACAAACTCCACGATAAATTACAATTAATCTGATGTTGTTCCACCAAAGACAGACAATAGTTATAATTCACTGATCGTTTCAATCTGAGAGTTGGTGCTGATGTTTGTCCACAGTTTACTGCTGGTGTTGGTGTCAGCGCTGGCCGCGTACTCCGTCCACCTCCTGCTGAAGCTCTGTGACCAAACAGGTGATCCCCACTATTACTGCTCTTTATGTTTGATTGTTTATTATTTATTATGTGAAATGCTCAGTTTTGGTCGTTTATTTGATAATCGGTTGATGGCATCCTCAACCAGTGTTTTAATGTAACTTCTGTTCTGAGGATTTATAAAGAGAAAATTATGCCACATGCCCCTGGTGGGATAAATGGAGTCGGAATCTGCAAACATGACAAAAACAGATACAACCTATTACTGAAAATCTGGTATTTATTTTAATTTTTTTCTGGTGGCGCAGTTGTTAAAATTATGGCCGCTGTTATTGCGGCTCAAGTACGAATCCGAGCCAAGCATTGTAGCTTTTGTACATTTCTATATTGTGAGGTCAATAAAGTTTATCTTATCTTTTGAATGCATGAAAAATCATTTATTAATGATATGAACCTTGTTTATAGTTGCTTTTGTTGTTTTACTTAGAGATAACGGTGGGCGGGCTAACTAATAATAAAAGTCCCCATCCAAAAGCAGCCGGTGTGTTCTTATCTCAAAGCATTGTCTGTTAATACATTTAGATAAGATGTGATTTAATTAGCTGGCGCAAACATAATATCTCTGGTTTGGTTTAGATAAAGGTTGATTAGTTTTTAAAAGAGTGTTAAAAGTGCATCTTTCTGACAGGGTCTGCTACATGCTTGTTGCCATAGACATGGAATCAAACTTTTTTTAAAGCAGTAGATAGTGCAAACCCTGCTTGCTCTATAATGCCTTATAGAAGTGCTCCTACTCACTTTGGCTCCATTCACATACTCTGAAAAGTGAACTCCTTTTGCTCTGTAGCTGTTTGCGTTACTCTACACGTCTCTGCATCACCTGCTCTGTGCTGAGGCATCACTTTCGTTCCTCTACGTCTACGACATGAAAGAGTAACTCCTCAGACTGAGATACACATCAATCCTCCGGAGTCTTCTGTTCCCGAATTTGCCTTTGGCTAGAGAATAGTGTGAGTAGGAACAGACCAGCGCTGCTCCTGATTGGTTCTTCGGTTGCTGGGTAGTTGCTATTTGAGAAATCCTGCTCATGGAGCCTGTTCGAATTATCGCTATTTTCCTTATTCCTAGAAAAACGGTGGACGCTATGAGTGACGTCAGCACTTTGTTTGTCTAGTGCTTCTATAGTCTATAAAACAGAGGCATAACACCGTGAAAAAAATGCAATAATAATAATAATAATAATATAAAAACATGCCTGGAAAGTTCCAAAACAAACACAAGCAAGAAGTGCTTCAAAGTGGAAGATGTCTCTATTTCTCAAGATGGAGTAAATAAATGTTTGCTCAGGTCTAACTTCATATGAAGGTCTAGGAGAGCGGGCGCTACACAAACCAGGGAAGGTAAACTTTAGTATTTCAGACATTACAGACACAACATGTTCTCAGCATCTCTGTTCTCTTCAGGTCCTGGTTGGATGTGCTGTGCTGATCCAAAACATTGGCGGTAAGTAATGTATATGTTCATTATACCAATTCCAATAATATATATATATATATAATTGATTTAAATATTGGGCCTCATGAGTAAGGCCATGTATGTGCCTTACTCATGAGGCCCTGTTTCACAGCTCATTAGTGCCCCCTGTGGAGATGTGTCACTGTGGACTCCGGGCCTTTATAAACCGGGGCCATGCTCCGAGTAAACATAAATTCTGCCCCAGGCTGCACAACTCTCTCACAGGAAGTTACCCGTGAAATCACCCTCAGATTTTTATACACAATGTTTTCTTCTTTACTCTTCACTCAAAGGCTGTATTTCAAAGCTGTCTTTGTAAGTATTGTCTCATGGTGAATGGTAGTGAATTCTAGTGTTGTGCTTCCAAACTAACCGCCTGCTTTTGAAGAACAGTGCTTTTCTTTTTAAGTTAAAATATTATAAGAAATTTGACTAAAGAAGTGGCTTAATTATTTAATGTGAGAAATCATTTACATGAGATCATCGGTTATTCCAGAGAAAGGTGACCTCTGCCTGTGTGGGCCATAGAGCTTTAAGGAATTTCCCAAAACAAACAAATACAGGATCTAGGGGATTATAGTGAAGGCTTGTTTAAGGGGCGAATTCAAGTCCTGCCCCGGGGCTCTGGGTCCGGGCTAACTCTTTGGGTTAGCTCAGGCTCTGTCTGGCTTCCTCAGTCCAAACACTTCCAAAATATGTGTAAAAATAATCCTTCATTTGTGGTGTTCTTAAAGCTCATGTCTCATTGTCCAGTCATGTCATGTTACTTTTTGTGTTGAGCTGCGACAGTGTGTGAGGCCACGGTCTGGTCTGCTCTGATTGGGTTTTCTCCAGGGTTTGGTCGAGAGGTGGAGCTTCAGGAGCCTGGATTAGTGTCACAGATCATTATTGTTTGCATTCCTGCCTCACACTTCCACAACAGCTGGAACATCTGCTGAGTGTCTGCTGCAGGCCCAGCCCTCCAGCTCTGCATTCACTCTCTGCTCTGCTCTCTCGCATTAAGCCGCTCACTCGGATTCATTCTAAACAGAACAATAGGTTTTAGAAAATCAAACCAAGCTTCCCCAGACGAGATGTGGATAGACTTCATTATGGTTATAATAACAATATGATATAAAACAGATGGATCATTGGCCTGCATCACATAATTTATGATCATCATTTGTGTAAAAACATGGTGTTTGTTTCCCACAGCGATGTCATCGTACTTGTTCATCTTAAAGTCAGAGCTTCCTGCAGCTATTACCAGTTTCCAGACTGCAGATGGCACAAAGTGAGTGTTACTCCTACACACTGTGTCATATGTAATGTAATTAATGTTTCACACTGACGTCACATCTAGACTCACACTGAGGATTTATCCTATGATTGAGTATATTACTACTTGATCAGTAAGTTATGTTTATTTACTCATTTGTGTCCCGCACCATTCAAAGGTTCTCAGCCCTCATGGGTCTTTAAGACACACAATTGTACAAAAAGGCCGACAGATCCACATGGACAAAATTGATTCCATGTATTCAACATAAATTGTAAATTGTAAAATTGTCAATAAAGTCTATCTTTTCTTATCTTAAAGTAGTGCAGCTCACACACTGACCTCTGCTCTGCAAGTTTAATGTGACATAAAGCTCAGGACCAACATTATCTCTAATTAACACATATATTCTTAGTTTTGGTTTACACAATACATCGCTGGCCCAGTTCTGTTTGTATGTATCAAATCACAAGTTCCTGATTTGCCTGAAATAAGTGAACTTATTCCAGAAGATAAACAGGAGCTCTGCCTCCGAGATGTTCTCCATGTGTCCAAATTGGTTTTCTGTGACAAACTCCACTACGTGTTTATGTATCTGCCATGTTCATCAGCCCACTCCATAGTAGTACATCTCCATGGGGTGCCTGGTTCCCAGCCCATGTCTCCGCACAAACACAGTTTAGGGGCCCTTTTGTGCACACCTTAAAAGTTGAGCTCTGTACTGAACCATCTCATACCAAATTCATTACATTGTTTTTAATGTACCATGGAACGTGCTAAACTGTGAATGGCCTCAAACAAAAGTGATTGATGACTTTTTATCTGCCTCGTGTTGCCAGGACCTTGGTTTAATGAATGTACAGTACATCTGCTTTGCATTAGTCTTTAGTCCAAATCTCTCACATGTGTTCTCCCATCGGACTGATACAAGAGCAGATCAGTTATGCCATTGTAATTGCACACAGTGCTGCGTGCACTAAGCACCGTTAATGAGAGCTATTCTGAACTCACTCCTCCACCACAAACACCAGAAGTTTCACTGAAGCCACACTTTTCACTCAGTGGTTTTGTTGTGGAGCTCAGCTGTCCCTCAGAGCAGGTGCAGATACAGCCCCTCATAAAGACGAGTGGAGCCGCTCCACTGAGCCCACACTGCCACACACACACACACACACACACACACACACACACACACACACACACACACACACACACACACACACACACACACACACACACACACACACACACACACACACACACACACACACACACACACACACACACACACACACACAGACTGTATATGACAGACATACACATCCACAGACATAAATAGACACACACACACACACTGACAGACTGTATATGACAGACATACACTGACAGACTGTATATGACAGACATACACACTGAGAACTTTCTATAGAGAGAAGTATATGCAGTTAGTGTGTTGTTCTAATCCTACTGCACTGTAAAACATTTCTGTAAAATTACAATGAAATTTCAACATTAAAGAAATGTTATTTTGAAAAACAATTCAAACATGCAAATTTAAGTATAAATTGGTTTCAAAAACATCCAGGGGCGTTTTATTAGCACAATTATAATGTGATTACAAAAAAACATTGCAATACCATAAAATCACAATGTATTACCGTGATTTGACATGAACTTGTTGTATTTTTGTAATTCTGGGAATTTTTTCTAGCAAGCAACCATGAGTGTAAAAGGCATGGGTAAGAGTTGTAAACTCCTGCTTTTGCTAAAGTGATGTTTTTGAGTTAAGCATGTTATAGAAGTAAAGATTTCAACTATTTATCATATAAACTGAAGTTGTTAAAAAATGGAAAAGTTGTGTTCATTAAAGGAAAACAAAATTAAACTGCATAGTTATTTTGTTAAATTAAACTAATTAGAAACAGAAACAGTCATATGGTGTAATAATACAAAATGTAAATTATAATGCTGTTTTTGTTGTATGTGAATGAACAGGAACATACAGTTAAATCCTGAAATCACAAAGGCATAATGTGATTCAATGAAACAGTCTTTAACCGTTAAAATTAGCAACGGTATTGCCATGTTGAGAAAACAGTGAATTCCTGGAACCATATTTGCCAGCTTTTTACCGTTTTTCTGCAAGGACATTTTTTACAGTGTGTGTAAGAATCACCTTCCGCCGTTTCCCTCGTTTCTAGAACTCCCTGGTTTGAAGATGGACGTCTGCTTCTCATATTAATTACAATCTGTGTCATTTTGCCTTTAGCCATTTTGCCCAGAGTCGGTAAGGGATTAGATTTGCATGTTAGCTGATAAAAGATAATATATTTCAATAATTGCAACTGTCCAAACTAGGGTTTCTGGGTTACACGAGTGGTTTGGCGTTTGTCTTCATGCTGTACTTCACAGCGGTGGTGAGTGTGTGGTCAGAAACATGTGTGTTCTACATCCTCTGCTGTGGCTGACTCTCCTGTTCCTAAAGGTTGTGGTGAAGAAGTACGTCATCCCTTGTCCTCTGCCCAACAACATCACAGTGTCCTCTGTCTCCTGCCAGGTAAGTAAGCAGCCATTTAAATGATCTTTCCAGGTTAGGATTTGTATCCCCTTCTCATAGCTCACAGTTTGCATTCAGTATTCAAAATCCATCTGTAAAAATTCATACAAAATATACATTTGGATCCTTCCTTGCCATCACTTAAGTGGCATCTTCTTAACTCACAGGGCTGAATTAAACTTCAATGAAAGGAAAATTTTGATATTTGGCAAATCTGCAACATCCCAGAATGCATTGCCTGTGAAGGTCTCTCTACCCCATATGATAATTTGGAGTCTCAGGACATGTCTCTCAGCTGGCCTGGGGATGCCTCAGGATTCCCCCAGATGAGCTGGAGAAAGTGTGTTGGGAATAGGAAAGTCTGGACGTCTCTGATCAGACTGCTGCGGCCGCGACCCAGCAACGGATACAACCGAAGACGATGGATGGATGAATATTATAAAAAATCAAAATGTTTGAATTTGTATTAATGTTACAACAATGTTCCCTCATCAAAAACAGACTGGGACTTGTGGAAAAAACACGTAACCCCGCCCCTTCTGTCTAAATGCTCCTGTATTAGTTGACATCAAACTCAGAGCTGTTTCGAGATAAAATAAGATAAGTTCTTTATTGATCTCACAATGGAGAAATTTACAATAAAATAAAAAGTATGGCCATGAACTAGTTGAGGCTATTTCTAAGGTGCGGTGTTTCCAGCCAGTAATTTTGAGATTTGAAGAAAAAAAGATTCTACAAATTCAACTTCTGGTAACAGAGAGCGTTTCTGGCGGAAAGGATTTTTTTACTCCTTTATTTTCACCATATATTTTCTATACACCATATTATTTCACATACTAAAACAAACAAAGGACTATAAATAGTGGACAATAACAATGTATAAAATGTCTTCTCTGTGCAAATAAGTTGCTTACCTTCACTGTATGTGTAACAAAAGGACTGTTTTATCATGATGTAGGAGGAGAACTCGAGCTGAACAGACTTTAGCTCAGGGAGGACGGTGTCTCTATCAAATCCAGGAAAAACATGTGACCTGGAGAAGCTCACAAGAGCATGAAATAACTTCCCTGAATCCAAAGCTCTTCCCGGCTCTAACCAGCGGCTCATTGTCCCTTCAGGTATCAAATTCATCCACCGCAGACTGCACAGCTCAACTCTTTGTCCTCTCCAGAAAGGTATGCGCCCAGCTTTCTATGTGGGATAGTGACATTTGTGGAAATTAATTACTTGCTTATGTTTGGCCTTCCTGTTTTTATATGTAGTTTATTTCTCCGTCATTATTTTTATGAAATTATCTTTTATTTTTTAAACATGAGCAGTTGGTTAACATAGTTTCCAGAGCAACACACTTTTTAGCATTAGCCCACGTGTTAGCAGTTAGCATTCGATAGCATTTCGCTGTTTTTCAAGCTAGATACACCAGTCTTAGCTCTTATTAAAAGAGAGTTATGGTAAATAAAGAACAAAAGAGAAATAAAATCTGGTGATAAATGTTAAACTCTTTTGAGGGAATATCTCAGGATTCCTTTGGTTTGAATGGGAGCCATCAAAATCACGGCTAATTCTGGGAGTCCTTCTGTTCTCTGTTGTTCTCCCCTGATAGTTGAGGTCTGTTTTTTAGAGTGCGTATGCCATTCCCACTATGGCCTTCTCCTTCTTGTGCCATACCGCCGTGCTGCCCATCTACTGTGAGCTGGATCGGTTAGTAACAAAGCTCTCTTCATAGTTTTACATTTTCCCACTAAAACAAACTAAACAATGAATGTGTCTTTTCAGACCGACTAAGGCAAGAATGCAAAGAGTCACAAACATCAGCATCAGCCTAAGTTTTACTCTCTACCTCGTGTCAGCCTTGTTTGGATACCTCACTTTCTATGGTAGGAAACATCCGGTGAATGGTTCGCTGTGATTATTATTGGTTTGGATTACAAGCTCAATATGTGGATGTAATGTGGAAATATAAATCCAGCGTTCTTATCCATCACTGTTTTACCGATGTGAAAAAGACGTTAGCCCCAGAGTCTTGAAATCTACTTTTGTACTTTCTATTACTTTTTAGTGTCACAAAACAGTGGTTTAGCGCTCTCCATGATCCTAGTGTTTATATTTTGATATTTTCTTTGTGAATCCAGATATGAGGCATGTAAGAATTGACCAATCAGATGCCTTCATTCGCTTGGGAAATGGCAGAAAAATGCCCATTTAAGGAATTTGGTTACAGCTAGCTTATTATTTACATTTGCCCTTTTCCACAATAAGGCTAACACTTTAATCACTCCAAATATGCATATCATTTTGTATACTCAAATTTGAAGAAAAAAAAGACACAACTTCAACTCCTCCCTCTGGTGGCAGCATAGGGAGTTACAGGAAGAACCATTTTTTATCTCACCATATATAATTTCTACAATATCATTATCACATTTTAAAACATGAAATGACCTAGAATTTTGTCTCGTTATCATTTTCAGGGGGCAAAAATTATGCATAATATGTCTTCTTTAATGCTGCTTATAGTGGCATTACTTTTTCCATAAACAATATTAAGGCAAGGCAACCAAAATTACTGAAAAAACAAGGCATCAAAATGATAAATAATCACTGCACTTTAAAAAGGGATAAAGATAAAACCCCTCAGTTTGTATTAAATTGTATATTGAAAAGTCTTGTATTTTCCTTCAGCTCAGGTGGACACAGAGCTGCTGCACGGATATGACAGGTATCTGCCCCGGGACGTTGTGGTGATCACCGTGAGACTGGCCATCCTGCTCTCCGTCGTCCTCACCGTACCACTCATCCACTTTCCTGTAAGCGTGCAATCACCGCAATCACCGCACCCGGCTCCTTCTTCACAGTGCAGTATGAGAGTAAAACATGTCTGTGTTTAGGCCCGCAAAGCCGCCATCCTCCTCCTGTTCGGTTCGCGGCCTTTCTCCTGGTGGATCCACTCCCTGACCACCGTCTGCATTCTGGGAGTGGTGTTGAGTCTGGCCGTCTTTGTCCCTGACATCAGAAATGTCTTTGGGGTTGTTGGTACGTGCCAGTTCATAATGTAATAATGTGATTCAGACAGACACATGAGCTCTGCGTGTATCGATCTCACTTCATCGACGGAGGTATGTGCTCATGTATAATTAATCAGCTTTTTATGAGTGTTTCCGGTTTGGTCCAGGCTCCACCACCTCCAGCTGCCTGTTGTTTGTTTTCCCTGGACTTTTCTACCTCAAGATCAGCACTCAGCGCTTCAGGTCTTTGGACTATATCGGGGTAAGAAAAGCCTTGTTCAAAGATGTATGAATGACAACATATTCTTAGTGCCTACGTCACATCCAGGAGCACAGAGGGCAGTTTATTTCTATCATGGGAAGATAAAGGTCAACAGTGGACTTGTATATCGGCATTAGTGACAACATATGGATAGATTTAAGTATTGATAATATTTACATTCCTTACTTTATGGAGATAGTTTTGTACTTTGTTATGTTGCCTACTGCGCTTAAAGAATACATACACAATCTATTTACAAATGTCCGCTGAAAATGGAGTCGGAAAGAAGTAAACCCCTGTAGTCTCCCACCTGAAGGAACATACAATTACAATACACAATACAATTTATTTTTGTATAGCCCTAGGTCACAACAGAAGTCATCTCAGAGGACTTAACAAAACCATTGAAATCACCAACACAGGTCAGAGAATCAACAGTTAAAACACATGAAGAATATAAAGCACACACAGAAGAAAATGTCCATACATGTTGTAGAATGCTAAAGTGTCCTGATCATCACCAATCCTTTCTGTTGGACACTAACTGTCCAACAAGACCCTCCTGCATCGACAAGGAAAAACTCTTAAAAAACCCAGTGGGAAAAAGTGAGAAACCTTGGGGAGCACTAGGGAAACCCACAGGGAGGGAGACCCATATGAGAAAGGGATCCGCTCCTCCGGACGGACAGGCTAATGATCTAGGACCTAAGCTAGCTACAGGACGTGGACCAGTGGCCGCTGAACGTGGACAGGTCCGGTGCAGGACCGAAGCACTCCCAGGCGGGTCGGGCGGGGCAGTCCGCAGGTGTAGATGGAAGAGGCCAGGCTCAGAGATCCCGTCATCGTACCATGAAACAGACAATGGGACAACGGGTGAATAGCAATGAACAAACTAGAGTCAGAATCCTAAAAATGCTAAACAGATAAAGTAGGAAGGAGGAGAGGATAGTGCTCAAGTTACCATACTTCTCCCAGCAAACTGACTCCCTATGCAGCTTGACTAACACTCTGAGGAGTTTAACCTTCTCCGAGTCTATAGCCATAAACTAAATATACACTACATATTATATAACATAATATACAACATAACACAACCTAATTATATGCTAAATTAAAGCTAAATTAAAGTAAAGTGCTTTAAGCCTGGCCTTGAATGTGGAGACCGTATCTGCTTCCTTAACATAAATGGGAAGCTGATTCCACAGTAAAGGAGCTTGGTAGCTAAATGCTCTGCCACCAACAGTGACCTTTGAGACCTTAGGGACCACCAGACGTCTGGCGTTTTGTGAGTGCAACGCTCGACCTGGTTGATACGACACTAACGTGTCTTGGAGATAAGAGGGAGCCAAGCCATTTATGGCTTTATATGTTAAGAGAAGGATTTTAAACTTTATTCTGTACTCCAAAGGGAGCCAGTGGAGTGATTTTAACACCAGAGTTATGTGCTCCCTCCTTTTGGTACCTGTTAAGATCCTAGCTGCTGTATTCTGAACGAGCTGGAAGCTCTTCAAAGAGGCTTTAGGGCACGCTGCCAGTAAAGCGTTACAGTAGTCGAGCCTTGAGGTGACAAACGCGTGAATGAGTTTTTCCGCGTCACTTTTAGGAAGGAAATTCCTAATTTTAGCGATGTTCCGTAAGTGGAAGTACGCCGTTTTAGTTGCTTGGCTTATATAAGCCTTGAAGGAGAGTTCTTGGTCAAAAATGACTCCAAGATTCCTCACAGTGTTACTGGGTATTATACTGACATTATCGAGAGTAACCATCTGGTTAGTGAGGGAGTCACGCAGGCGCTTCGGACCGAGTAGGATCACTTCTGTCTTCTCCGGGTTGAGAAGTAGGAAGTTAAGAGTCATCCACATTTTAAGGTCCTTTATGCAGGCACTGAGCTTTTCTAGCTGATCTGTCTGGTTAGGCTTCATCGACAGATAAAGCTGTGTGTCATCTGCATAGCAGTGGAATTAATTCCATGCTTTTTAATAATGTTTCCCAGTGGCAGCATGTAGAGAGTAAAAAGAATCGGTCCGAGTACCGAACCCTGCGGCACACCGAATTCCACTCCAGAATAAGGCGACGAGTCCTGATTCACATTGACGAAGTGATATCGATCTGATAAATAGGATTTAAACCAGCCAAGGGCTGTTCCTCTAAGACCTATATCACATTCTAGCCTCTGCAGTAGAATGCTGTGGTCTATTGTGTCAAATGCAGCACTAAGGTCCAGTAGGACCAGCACTGACACTTGTCCATTATCGGCAGCTAGTAGTAAGTCATTTGTGACTTTGACTAGTGCCGTTTCAGTGCTATGATGAGCTCTGAATCCTGATTGAAAGACTTCAAACATATTATTTTCCTGCAGGTGGCAGCGGAGCTGCTCAGCTATAAGTTTTTCCAGGATTTTAGATATAAAAGTGAGGTTTGAGATCGGTCTGTAGTTTGTAAGTATTTCTGTGTCCAGGTTTGTTTTCTTCAGAAGGGGTTTGATTACCGCGGTTTTAAAAGCTTGTGGGACATAGCCACATTGTATGGATGCGTTTATTATATTTACGATAGGCTCAATTATCAAAGGAAGTATGTCTTTGAAGAGCCATGTCGGGACTGCGTCTAACATGCAAGTTGAGGCTTTTGAGGATGTGACCACAGAGATCACCTCTGCTTGGCTCACAGCCATGAATTTATCAAGGCCCACTGAAGAGTCTAAGTGGGAAGTCACGTATGCCGCTTCAACCTGTCCACCACTAACAGCAGGAGCAACCTCCTCCAGCTTGTCACGGATGGATGTAATTTTATTATTAAAGAAGTGGAGAAAGTCGACACTGCTCAGTGAGCTTGGAATTTTAGGCTCGATTGCGCTATGGCAGTTTGTGAGTTTAGCGACGGTGCCAAACAAAAATCTACTGTTGTTTTTATTCGCTTCTATTAAAGTTGAATAGTATTGAGTTCGAGCCCCGCGAAGGGCCTTCTTGTAGTTTCGGAGACCTGCTTTCCACTCCCTGTGGACAGGCTCCGAGTGGGAGTGGCGATATAGCCTCTCCAATTTTCTGACGTCCTGTTTTAAAGTGTGAAGTTGAACACTGTACCAGGGCGACGATGATCTAATCCTAATGGTTTTCTGTTTTAAAGGAGCTGCTGCATTTAATGCAGATTTTAAAGACTCCATAGTGTTGTCCACCGTTTGGTCAATGACTGAGGGACTGCAGCTGCTGTGAACAGGTTCACCTGCAGCAGTATTCAACATAGGCTATTAGTTCTTTGAACCTTGTGATAGATTTATCATTTAAGGTTCTTTTCATTATGGTTTTATCTTGCGGGACAGGAAAGTCCTCCAAAGCGAGATCAAACGTGATCAAGAAATGGTCAGACAGCAACGAGCTTTGACGCTGGATGTCAGCATTGGAGACATCACAGCCGTAGGTCAGGACAAGGTCCAAGGTGTGGTTATGAATGTGAGTAGGTTCCTCGACATTCTGAGTAAAACCAACACCATCTAGTACGGCGCTGAAAGCTTTGTTTAAGCTGTCAGTGCTGTCGTCCACATGTATATTGAAATCTCCAGCTATAACTATGTTTTCCCATTCCAAAACTAGGTTTGAAATGAAGTCAGAGAATTCTGTTAGGAACTCGCTGTAAGGACCAGGAGGTCGGTATAAAACTATAAATAAAACTGCTTTTTGTTTTCTCCACCCAGGACAGGTGATTGAAAGTGTTAAGTTTTCAAACGAGTGAAAAGCGTTGTTGGTTTTGGGACTAAGAACCAAGTTGGTGTGTGATATAATCGCAACACCACCGCCGCGACCTGTAGCTCTGGCTTTCTGGTAGTTAACATGCGTCGGAGGAGTGCACTCATTCAGAACATATCAATTGAAAAGCTGAAAAAACTGAGGGAACTTCATAGACCATGTTCCTTTATTCCAGTGTTTTTTTAACCTATATTCTACTTCAACAAATATATTCTATGTTATTGTAGGCTGCTTTCCTGGTGGTGTTTGGAGTGGTGGTGGGAGCCCTGAGTTTGACTCTGATCATCTTGACATGGGTTCAGAGCTCCTGACGCCTGCCACAAACAAGAGAACAGTGAAGGGAAACCTGCACCAAAGACACACAACTCCTTCAGCCTCATAAAACACTTCAGTGGCGAAGTGTGAAGAAAGACCAAAGACCAATGCAGCACTGTGACATGTGGGGTTCTGACTCAGCCTGAACTTGGACCAAATCAACACATATTTTTATATTTTATCATATGATTCTTTTAATCCCACTTAATTATATTTTAATCTTAATATTTTATTTTTTATAATGATTCATGGATACTTGTTTACTGAAGTCTTAGAGTGTAATCATCTGTTGTTTACATACTCTTAAGGTTCGCTGCTATCCTCTACGACGGTGCAACTCAACCCTTACTCCAGGTTGTGTTTTAATAAAAGAGGATCAAATCTCTGCGTTTGTTCGACTTTGAAAATCAGAGTATCGTTTAAGGTTGTGGGTCTGAGCCCACCATGAGACCTTCTCCACCGACTCCCTCTGATGTTTGCTGTCGTTACCCCACTTTGCCTGAAGCCCCCGCTGAAAGGTCCCAACCCAGAAATGGATAAAGGGGGAAAAGATGGATGGATACACATTTCTAAAGTAAATGGTAACTATATGATAGACTTATTACTAAAGATTCAGAATCATTTTATTTTCCATTTGCAGTAAAACCACATTGGAATACATTTTCAAGTGGTTCACATTTGACTGAATGACAAATGTTAACTCACCAGATACATTAATGTGATACAATCCGAAACAAATGTTAGTTCATTCAAACAAAGTTAACAACTGGATGCCAGAGATCCTTGGCTCCACAGCGAGGTCATTGTTGGCTGAGATGAAGTTGGCTGGTTGATACTGTGAACTTGTGTTTATGAGCTCATAGACAACTCTAGGTTAGCGAGGTAGGACACATACAGTGACACACAGAAGTTTGCACATGTCCGCCCTGAATAACAGACGTTGCAAATTAGCCTTGGCTATAAATGTTTTAGTGTTTCACATTTGGATGCTCACAAAAAAAATCAATAAATACAAATAAAACATCTCAGAAAGAATGGATATTTTGAGACAGGATTGAAAACTAGAATCAACATTAAGGCTTAAGTTGGGAATATATCACATTGCATTTATCTATATCAGATTGTGGTTTCACATTTTAAGTTTAAATGCAAAAGTTAATTTATTCTAAAATGTGTAGAACTATATCTTTCAGAAACCCTATTGTCGGGCCTGTCTGGCTGAACACAACACACTCCTGGTTTTAAGAAATTAGCCCATATCCCTGCAGACGAGTGCCTTCCATGATCCTCAAATCCTCCTCTTGGACCCCCCCTGCCTCACCCCCCTGCCCCGCTCTGCTCTGCCTCAGCCTGCACACACACACACTCTCTCATGTCTCATATCAGCCCCTGGTGTTCTACTAAAGCTGCACTACAATCACAGCTCATGGTTTTGTACATGTGCCATCTCTCCATCGTATCAAACTGCTGCTCGTTTTTTTGGCACAAGCCTCTCTGGTTTGGTTTCGAGTCCCACCATCTGTTTGGTGTTTACCACGGTCTTGTCTGACAGAATTCCTCCCAGGGGCTGTTCCTGTCAAGGCTAAACGCTGCTGGCATTATGAGGGCTTCCCCGGCCCGTCATGGTGGCCCACTCCAGGCTGCGAGGGTCAGAGGTGGGCAGAGATGAACAGCCGGAACTTTTTATGTTGTATTAATAAAGGGTGTTCTTACTTGTACTTGGGAAAAAAACAAATGAAAATGACAGAACATATTCTCTTCCGACTTTGAATATTTGCTGATTGAAAACAGTATGTGTATTGACATGTAGAGATCTAGAAGTTAGTACCTGATCATTTGGAGTTTACCGTTCCATCTGTGTCTCATTCTTAAAACAAATAGTTATGTTGAGTGAAATGAAAGCAGCTCTTGTGTTTTCTCTCATGCGATTACTCATCAAATTAGAATATGTATAAAGTCCATTTAATTCTGTAATTCAACTTACACTTCTGTTTTCCAAGTTACAATTTGAAACTGATATGTAGGTTTGTTATAATGTTGATAACTAACTTACAGCTTATAAAATGGACTGTAAGCCATAATTATCAAAAATATAACAAAAACTTGACATAGGTTACTTTTTTGTGTTTTTGTGTAAGTCACAGCAGCTGGGAGGGATTTACAAAACCGTTGAATTTGTACAGATCAAACACAATAAATAAAACGGTAAACACATTTGTATTGGTCCATTAGGGGCAGATGACAAATGTGTTGATAAATGCTGTTGAATGTTGAGTGTCCTGGATCATCCCCACTGTCCTTTCAGTTAGACCTCACAAGACTCATAAGATATTTTTGAACAATTTATTCTAACTGTCCAAGTTTTAACTGTACTTTGCAACATCTTTAAAAGTTGCTAGTGTTATTGTGTAGAGCTGGGTTGAGTAAGATAACATAAAATAAAACTTTATTGTCCCTCAGTGGGAAAATTTCAAAATAGTAAAAACACGACTGTCCAAAAGTGTGGTCACTCTCACAGTAAAGTAGAGATACCACCACAAACCACCAAGGCAAACATCAACATGAGAGTGTTGTCATTGTTGCCCAGAGTGGGGGGTGTTCTGACTCGGACCGGCCCAGAGCTGAGCCCTTAATGCGGGCCTGACGCCTCCCTGGCGCAGGGGCCACGCTGGAGCACATCTGGAGCTGGTTAAATGGAAAGAGGCTGTGACACCGCCCCCACCTCCAAGAATTCTGCTCCACTGTCCACCCTCACATTCCTCCAATCTCAGGACACTCAAACCAACACAAACTCCATGCATTTCAAAGGGCTCCATATGAAGCCATTATGAATCAGTGAGGTGGATTATTTACAAATGTGCTGTGACCGCTTGGACATGATGAGCCTTGTTTTTCCTTCACCATTACTAATTTCATGTTTCCAGAATGTGTTTTGATCATTACAAACCATGAGGTAACTTCTTAATAAATAGATTTGGCTCCACTGGTGTGTGTCGAGGTGAGTACTATAAAACAGACCAACAACTGACGATGGATGCGAGTCATTCTATGGGCATTTTTCTCCGCTCTCTGTGGTTATAAACTAAAACTGCGGTGACTTATGAATCATGTGAGTGGTTGGTCCTATATAGCCAGAACAGCCCAACCCCTCTTTCACCGGGTCACCTTCCGCCTGTGCCCCCGCTGGCTCCTGGGTACCACGGCTCTGCTTCGTTAAGTGCAGATATAAAGCGTACAGGGCGAGAGCTGTGAGGATTGAGCTGTTTTAGAGTGACATGCACATAAAGTGAGGCCAGACCCGGAGTGGAGGTGGAAACTCCTCAGGTGGCTGGAATTAAAGCCAGAGAGCAGAACCACTCCAGCCTGCAGCGAGGAGGAGGAGGAGGAGGAGGCGGAGGAGGAGGAGGAGAGAGGTAGAGCTGTAACCATGTTGTAACCTTGGTCATGTTGTGATTCATCGCATTGTGCTTCCACCAGTACAAAGGCAGCGTGACCATAGAGAACTGCCCTCCCCCTTTAAAAGGCATGTCCATGAAGGAATGTCAGGTTGAGGTCTTTATATGAATAAAAGGAAGTGGAACTACAGCTCGGCTCCTTCAAAACCTTAAAGCTGGGGTGTCTAACTTTCAAACCACAGGAAAATGGACCAATAACATTCACAGTCAGTACTAAGTAATAACAAATAATATTACTAGTTCTTCAGTTGTTTTTACATGGATGCATCTTTGGCCTCTGTCACACCAATAGATCAGCTCAAATAGATCAAAAAAAGTGAAATAGAGAGGGCCATCCTCACTCAGCCAATCAGCTCTCAGTCAAGTAGTCCCTAGGGCTTTCTCACAAGTGTACAGAAGAGAAAACACACAGGCAGAAAGGCACCATGTTGTGGACTGATTTGTACACGACTATTCTTTCAGGAAAAATATGTATTTATTGAAAAGTAAGGTACCCCAGCTTATTAGGCAATATAAAATGTCTTCTCCAAATGCACTCAAAAAAATACACTAAACATGAGCGGTGTGTGTGTGTGTGTGTCACAACTAGAATATTAGAAATTAAATATGCACTTTGCATTGCACAGGTCATCCACATTAGGAAACATTAAAATCACACACAGACATTAGATTAAGATGAAAACATTCATAATGCTTTGGTTGCTCAATTCACCTTTGTCATATAACCAAGCCCATAGACACACTTATATTTGACTAGAAATTGTAAAATGTCTGAAGCCATTGTGAGTTACTTCAAACCATAAACAAAAACAAAGTGCTACAGCACACTAATAATATTAAAAACTTAAAATTATTACACCACTATTAAACAATTACACTCTCATTACTAGAGATTATCAGAGATTTTATAGTTACTTCTTCATTATGCTAAAGTTAGAGATTTAATTCTATTTAGTATGGAGTTATTGTTATTGCTGTGTGCTCCTTATCTCTACTGTTCTGTAACTGGTGATGCAACACTGAAATGTCCCCCCTGTGGGACAAATAAAGGATCTCTTCATCATTCAATCATATTGCACTGTGCATACAAAACACAAAAAACAAAAGTACTACATAAAAAACCCCTTCAAAATATAAAATAAAAAGATAAAATATCCCATCATAAAAGATAGTGAAAATTACAACCTGTAAAGTTCTGAATTTTGAACATTTCTGTGAAGGAACGGACTGCAGGCCTATACCGCCATCTGCTGGTCAAATGTGTGCACGCTCCACTTTGCAGAAACGTTCTTTGCGCATGAACTTTTTGCCCCAAGTCTTCTCTGTCCCGGGAGCGCGGAGACAGAAGCACACACGCACACACACACGCACACGCACACGCATCTCTTGTTCTCATGTTGGAGCAGGTCTTGTCTTGTGAAAGGTCTGGGGGCCGCGGTGTTTACGGTCCTGAGTGCTGACCCGGGTTTATGAGGTCCGCGCTCCTCACATCAGGATTCACTCCGGGCACTTTGGAGAAGCAGTGCGGGGTCACGGATCAGACGCACGGTTAAAGCAGTGATGGCTGCTTTTAGGAGGCCTAACACTCAAGCTGCTCTGGTCTTTAACACTGGAGTATAATAAAAGTGATGATGAGGATGGAATTGGAATTATTAACCAAGCAGTGTTGAGAGAGTGCTGCAGAAAAATCATGTTCGTAACAGAAGTTACGTTAGATAAATAATAGAAATACCTACAGTTTGCTCTTTGAAAAGCCAAATCCTTTCAAATAAACTTCTCAATAAGATATAAGGTAAGTGCCTATATACCTGTGATTGTCTGTAAAGTACATATTATTTTTCCTGAAAAAATTTGAACCAATTAGACAAAAACAAGCTGCCTTTATCTGATTTTAAAATATATGGTCTTTACATGAGAGCTGATTGGCTGGAAAGACTGGTCTAAGTATGTACAAGTCAAAAATACATCAATGAGTTTATTTGCAAATATCATTACAGTCAACGCTGGGGTTTAGTTTTTCATAAATACATGTTTGACTGAACAAAAATAGTCTTGAAACTCACCAGACCACAACATGCTGTTTTTCATCTTTGTATAAAATATTTTATCCTGTACATTCTTGTAAGAAAGAGTCCAGTCACAATTTGACTCTTTGGGCTGAGGGTGAACTCCAATGTGTGTGGGAAACATTTAATGCCATATTGTGGAACATTCAAAGCAAAACATAAAAGTTTCAATGGACACTAGAAAAAATACATAAAACCCCACAAACTACATGATAATACCTACATTTGGCTTTTTCTGTATTTTCAAAACTTTTTTACACATGAATAGTTGCTCGGTTCATAATAGTTTGTACTTAAATAAAATGCCTCCATATTTTTGTGTGAATTTTCTTTCTGTGTGAAGGAAAACTCTCATATCTTTCTTTTGCAGACGTTTGACTGATTTAAATATACATTTTTCCAACACGTTTAGGCAAGTTTATTTGTACCTCACAGGGCTTAACAGAACAAGATCACACAAGGCCTTCAAATAGTAATACATTATCACAGTACATAAAAAGTGAAGATAAAAAAGGCAATCCTTCAGTTGTACGCACAGCCAGACAGAACTTGAACATTGCCTGAGTTGAAGCCTGTCTCACATTTTCAGGAAGACTGTTCTATAATTTAGCTGCATAAATCTGAAACACTACCTTTCGAATTTAACGTCATAGTGGTCAATGTACAGGGAAAAGAAGGAAACGGATGGCTGCATTTCTATTCGAACGCCACCGTACCTTGTTTATGGAGTTGGCGCGGTGCATTGTGGTCTTTGTAGTTGTCTGTGGGTTACGTCGTGTAGTCGCTGGAGGCAGGTTGTGTGGCGTGCGCTCGATAATGCGGAACTTTCGTATTGACTGTAGAAAGAAGCCTCCGCGACAGGTTGAGCTCGGCATTTGTTCAGGAGAGGAGACCTGCAGATACTTTGTGACATGCACGCAACCCTAGAAGGAAGAATGAACTCCCAAATTCGCTTCAACGTGTCATAAACTGAGACACAAACCTGTGCTGTCTGTCCTTTTTTGTTTTTCTTTTTTTGACAAGATGAAGTTTAACGGGTTCTTGAAGTTGCGCGTTGGAGAAGCCGTGGACCTAAAGCCAACCACGTACTCCATGCGTCACTCTGTCATTTTCCACAAAGGACCCCCGACCCTGGACCCGTACATCGTGGTCAAAGTGGACGACTCCAAGATCGGACAGACGCGCACGAAACAGAAGACTAACAAACCCACGTACAATGAAGAGTTCGCGCAGAAAGTCAGCAACGCAGCGCACATCGAGCTGGCCGTGTTCCAGGAGACCCCCATTGGATACGACCACTTTGTAGCCAACTGCACCATCCAGTTTGGAGACTTGATCCATCAGTCCAACACAGGAGAGAGCTTCGAGGGATGGGTGAGTCTGATACTTTGACAGGCAAATGTGGTGGAGCTGGAAAGGTAAAAAAGTGCATGATGTTTTCTTGACATTTATGGATTTGATCAATATTTTTGCACATTTGTCATCTGCCCCTCATGGACCAATGTGTATGTGTTTTTATCATGACTTTTCTTGTGTTTGAACTGTTTGATTCTCTGATAAGTGTTGGTGAATTCGAGATAGATGCTGCTGTGATTTAGGGCGATTAGATACAAAAAAAAATAAGCATTGAATTGAATATAACTTCAGGTTTAAGGCTTGCAATGATCATTTTGTTATTGCCTTTTTAATAACATTCTATCTTAAATGGAAGAGTTGTGATTTAATGTACAAAAACGATTAATTCAACTCAAGTTTATTGTACAGCACATTTCATACACAAGCCAAGTCATAAAGTGTTTTACAAAAATGAAACTTATGAAAGTGAGTGGATCGATATCTCTCATTTTTATGCACAGGTCAGAAGATTTGTTTAAAACATAAAAATGAACATTGTCAGAAGAAGCCTGTCTCGCGTTCTGTGTGAAATGTTGCTTCTTAGTTTTTAGTCCTGACTCTGGGCTCGAGCAGGAGGCCAGTCCCTGTGCTCCCCAGAGTCCCAGCAGGAGGCCAGTCCCTGTGCTCCCCAGAGTCCCAGCAGGAGGCCAGTCCCTGTGCACCCCAGAGTCCCAGCAGGAGGCCAGTTCCTGTGCACCCCAGAGTCCCAGCAGGAGGCCAGTCCCTGTGCTCCCCAGAGTCCCAGCAGGAGGCCAGTCCCTGTGCTCCCCAGAGTCCCAGCAGGAGGCCAGTCCCTGTGCTCCCCAGAGTCCCAGCAGGAGGCCAGTCCCTGTGCTCCCCAGAGTCCCAGCAGGAGGCCAGTCCCTGTGCTCCCCAGAGTCCCAGCAGGAGGCCAGTCCCTGTGCTCCCCAGAGTCCCAGCAGGAGGCCAGTCCCTGTGCTCCCCAGAGTCCCAGTATTACTGCTGCAATGTTCATCACAATTTAAGCCTAAGAATTTATAAAGCTCTAATTGTAGGCCATTTCTGAGGTACATTATACTTCTGTAGAAAAATATCCCAAGGTGAAGCTCAATGCCATTGAAAAACTATTTGTGGCAGAAAGAAACATTTCAGTATGTATTCATCCTATTCAGGGAGTCACAAATGTTTATTATTCAAACTACCACAACTCATCATCTGTATTTCTGGATAAATAATGTGTTTTGACATATAAAACTGCACTTATATACTTTTACTGTAGTACTTTTCAAGATCTATACAACTATCAGTATACTTTCCCTTAAGTTCCTGAGACCAGATCTATCTCTACATGTTGTAAAATTGTCAGAGCCAGAGCGATGGGCGGAGAGACGCATGACAGCTGGCAGTAGGTCTTTGGTGTGGCTCCTCAACTTCAGTCGTGGTGATGGCAGAAGTGACAGTAAACTTCACGTCAGTTTTATGACGTGGCGCTCTGGCCTCCGCTGCAGGTGGACTGTAACATGAGTCCGTTGAGCCTGAGGACGCAGCTCTTTCCTAAGGGCCTCCCAATAGGGCTGAGCTGATCAGGGTATACACATGACTCCAATAACCAATTTGTACAAGGATGAATAAAGCTTTGATCTGACTGTACTCAGCACAGAGGGGCCACTCTCCATTTCCATTGTTATTATATAAAACAATGATTATTATGGGAATGCTCCAATCCAGCTTCTCAATATCTGCCCAGACCCAGTAAACACCAGTGAACATGATTGTGATTTGAGGGAATTAAAAATGGATCCATTTGTATTGTTTAAAAGACCTTTCATTAACTACAACTTTGTATGAGTAAAACTAAGTCCCCCCAGAGCGGCTCCACATGACATATACTGTACGCTCTGGCCAGAAGCATTAAAGCTGCTGCATCTAACTTTTTTGTCCCAACACACAAACAGCTGATCTAAAGATTTGTTAGATGCCAAAAATACATTAATTTGAAAACTAGTGATGGAACAGTTTTGAGAGCGATAATTTAGATACATGTTTGTGGTATTCTGAGAAGCACAGAACGCATACAGTAAATGATGAGTAAAAACAGAAGTCATTCTTGATTTTGAGGAAGCACTCTGATTGTAATAGATTTGCTGATGGAAAAATTGTTTTTGAGAGGAACAAATAATGACTTATGAAGATGACCCGCGTCTGTCAAATGCAGCATCCGCAGCCGCCGCAGCAGCCGCAGCAGCAGCAGAGAGGAAGTGCACAAATAGAACTCACTTTAGAAGGACACACTTATTCTATGGTTTCTTCTTCTCGTTTGATCTGAAAGACAGTTGCTTTGATGTTCTGACATTAAGAAACCTGGTAGATCTGTGCAGCTCATCACTATTTAAATGGACATGAAGACAAGAGTTTTGTCTCGTTCCTGAACTTTCAGTTGAACATCAAAATGAACGGGCTAAAGACCTTATGCAAATGTGATGTTAATTATGTACAAATTAAAAACAATATTGTTACAATGAAACAATATTAAAGATAACCTGCAGCACTCCTTATTACTTTTTGTAATTACCTTTTTAAGATCAATGTATCATGAATATATCACACATTTTGTATTCTTAAACATGTGGCTGGAACTATAGTGAACTTTGGGTCTGATGCTCGGTCTGGTGGTGGTGGCTCTGCAGGCCTTCACTTGCCTCCACTCTTACTCTCTGTTGGCCGAGTTCCAGGTGTATGAGAGTGTGTGCGTGTGCGTGTGCGTGTGCGTGTGCCTGTGTGTGTGTGTGTATGTGTGTGTGTATGCGCTGCTGCTGTTTGTGAGGCACAGTTTTACACCTCTCAACACCACTTCTTATGTCAATGTTTGATGTGACGATATTTTTCTTCAGGTCTGTTTGATGTGAAGCAGACAAACGGTTTGAGCCATGAAACTTTATAATGGCAGGAGGAGGACAAACCACAAGAATATAATTATATACAAGAACAACTTTTAAGGCCAATCTCACACTTTATTGTGCACAAACCTCTACAGCTAAATTGTCTTTAAGAAATCATATGAATAAATCTCTCCACTAATGCAACGTCAATGTAACCCAAAAGTCAGTTCATGAACAATGAGCTGATATAGTTTAAACAGCAGAGATTTATTTGACCTCACTGAATAATTTTGATATTTTTTAATTTGTGTCTAAATGTGTGTTCATAACATGTTTTATAGTTGTACAAAACAAAACCATTCTACCAATCAAACCAAAAATACCATCTCCAAAGTTAAAATACTTTTTTTCAACTTTATTCCATTGATCATCCCTCTCTCGATGGACCAATGGCTCTTATGTGTGAGTTATTATTATATTTCCTACGTTAAAACTGTTTGATTCTCTAATGTGTTGTTGAGGAATCGACATAATTAGTAAATTTCTCGGAGACAACTGCCGGTGGGAACTGCTGGTGGGGTTGTGCAAAAAATCGTCTTTGAAGGAATTTGACCCCATAATTTAAAGGTCCCAATAACTCTGCCATGACACAAAATACTTCATCATGAAAGTCTTGAACAGAACATAAGAGAACCTTTATTCACCCCACAGTGGGGAAATTTCAATGTTGCAGCGCACATACAGGACAATAGTAAGAGCCCACAAAACATACAATACAAGTTTCTGCTCTGTTTCTGAGCTAGCTGTAAATGCTTCAGTATCTATCGACTTATCTTCTTGCAAGGATCTTCTTACATTAAACTGGAGTACTTTACTTTAAAATTCATTTAACTTGTCCCTCGCTTTCAAAACGTTTTGCTTCTATCACTAGTTTTCACACGCATGTAGATCAGCTTTCCGTATGTAAAAGATACCTTGTTATCTATGAAGGTAATGTTAGCATGTTGTGGCCTGATTCCTTTCTGTTGGGACAAACAAAATTCCTTTTTATGAAACAAAAAAAAGTATTGTACCCCAGCTTTAAGTCCTATATGTAAAAAGTCAGTTACTGCCTTAATTCTTATATCTTTTCGAATCCCAATCGTTTGCTAAAATCAGACAGTTCTATATTTTACTCTGAAGGCTTGAAGCTTCTTGATCTGCTTTTAAATCACTTTGAGTAAAAGTGAAAGTGGGTGAAACAGCCCGAGGTAGTTTCGCGGCTGATGATCTTGTTCAGGGGGAAATTAACCACGGTTGTCATGGCGACGCCTACTTCTACTTCTCGTTCTGAGCGGCGCGTAGGTGAAGAGTCAAAAAAGCCTTCAGCCCCGGAGTGTCTGTGAACAGGAAGCCACACTCGCTACTGAAAGTTCACGGTGCACTATTGTAACTAGGGCCACGAGCCAAATGCAAAGCCAGCAGTTAGTTTAGTTCCTGGCAAAGTAACTGCAGTCTAAATGAAAAGTTATGTGCTTGCAAAAAACAACGAATTTGCTAAAACTGCCTAAATTAAGAGATTAAGATTAAGAGATACTTTATTCGTCCCACAGTGGGGAAATTTCAGTGTTGCAGCACAAGATAAATAGCTATACTAATTAAAATAAAACCAAATCTCTAACTCTTGCATCAAATGACAAGTATAAAATCTCAATCTTAAACATATTAATACTAAAGAGTAATTTTAGTGTAATTTGATCATCTCAGCTGTGTTAACTATAATAAAATACATTTAACATCTGAAGTTCCCGCTCGTAACAGTTGTGATTGTTTTTGTATCGTCATGTCATTGTCTTCCCCTTTATTAGTCCATTTCTGGGTCGGATTATCAAAGTACCAGTCCCTCGCTGATCCTCCTGCAAGGGGTGGGTCTACGGGATGATGGCCGAATACATGGCCTTGGTCTTTCAGTGGGGGATCAGGCAAAGTGGGATTAGGTGTCTTGCCAAGGGACACAACGATAGCAGGCATCAGAGGGAGCAGGTGACCAATGCTCCACCAACTTAGCCTCTGTCGCCCCAGTTTTTGAATTCTTAAACATATTTTAACTTCCAGATTTTAAACTGATGACATCACTCAAGGGATTCCCTGTTGCTCACT